TGACAACGATCAGATTATTCGGTATGCAAGAGAAATGAATAAAGATCTGTAAGAACAAGTTTACAGAATATGATATTAAAAAAATATTGAATGTATATCAATCAAAGGAAAAAAAATATCAGAAAACAACATTTGAATACAAACAAGTGTATTATCACCGAAAATGATTTATATATAAGAGACGTGATAATAACAGTTTGAAGAATAGCTGAAATAGGTATTGGAGTTATGTACGATGAGAAATTACACAAGTAAAATCTCAAGAAATACCTGTTCAGAAAATGTACTCGTTTTAAAAAAAAAATTATTCACTTCCCGAAAACATTTATTGGACTTCTAGAGACTCCCCCTAGAAAGTAGATTATAGAAATGATTCGATTCAGGTCAAAAAATTAAAAAAAAAAATAAGAAAAACTTGTTTAGCATGGGTCCTAAACTGTGTGTTTAGAAACCACACTCGGTAAAACACGGGTCTTGAACTGTATTGTTCAGAAGCCTCTGTGGAACAGATTACAACTCCCCCTGCATTGGTGTATCACTGATATGATATTCTAATCAGCACAAAATTGACACACCTGCAAAACCAGATTAAGTAGATTTTGGTACCCAAACGAACTTGGGTCCTATTTTGTTAGTATCGGGTTGGGGTATGTTGTAACTTCCAAACCATCTATTTCTATTAGAAAATATTATTTTTAGCACTTTGAACAGGATGATCAAGAATAGAATATGACCTATACCAGTTATTGTATTCATATCTGTTCTTACCTTTCCAACTGTTCTGATAGTTGTTATCTCCATGCCACCTAGTGAACCTTTTCTTATTAACAAAATCATTGGTTCTGCATGTTGAGCACATAATTCTTCTCTTGCTAAGACTGATCAGATCATTAGTGGATCTCACAATGCAAGGAAGAACAGAGTTAGTAACAACATGTGTATGAGATGAAACAGAATCAGCTTTATTAACCCAAATGCTTTTAGTCTTAGAAAATTTATTGGGTGATCTGATAACATACCCTTGATAATACTGATTAGAAGAACGAGAATAGTTGTTAGAAACAGTAGATTTAGGGCTGCTTGAATAACTGTTCGATTTGGAACAGTCATAGAAGCTAGTTTTACACTGTGATGGAGAACCAATTGGACTTTGTGCACAAGAAAAGTCTTTGACTTTCTGTAAAAACTGGTCTCTTTCAGCAGTAACTAAATCAAACTTAATTTTAAGTTCAGTTCTCATCTTCAGCTCAGTGTCAAGGTCTGTCTTCAAATCAGACAATTTGCTTGTAGTATCCAAGAGTTTACCTTCTAACTCCTTCTGAAGCATCTCAAACTTTCTCTTCTGATTTATTAACTCTCTTTTTTCTTCATCTGAGCTGCTCTTATCATTCTCCGAAGCGATGTCAAGCCACTTTTTCTTATTAGCAAGCTCTTTAGCAATTGTTGTATACTTCTTTGAAGTATTTCTCTTCTCAAGAGCAAATTGCTTCTTTTCTTCATCTAAAGCTTTTTGCTTTAGAACAATGCTTTCAGATAATTTTTGTATTTGGCTCTGACAATATTCTGAGATGTCTTTCTTCTCTTGATCATTCTTGGCCCGTTCCAAGTTGATCAGCTGCTCAAAATCATAAATTTGTTTTAACAACGTTTTTGCATTCAGCTTGAGAGAGTTAATCTTATTCTCATACGATATGCGTTCAACTCCAAACTTTTTCTCTAAATCATATATTCTCTTCTTCTCTCTTTCAAACTTATTTCTCTCAACATCCAAATTATTCTCAACTTTTATAACCTTCTCTTTCTCTAAATTCAGAACTTTTTTTAGTTCAATCAGGTCACTTTCAGACTTATGAGATTTATCAGTTAAGTCATCAGTTTCATTATGCTTTCTACCTGAATAATCTCTTTCAGCTCTCAATTCACTCCGAACTTCTTGGAGTTTGTGAAACAAATCATTATTAGACTTACTCCATATTTTCAATTCAATATCAAAATCTTTTCTAACATTATCCAAAGAATTTTCAAGTTTATTAATTTGATACTCGGAATCATTCTCAACTCTTTCCAATGCTCTTTTATGATCTTTTTGTAAATTTGCAATAAATTCCACATTAGAATGATTCTCAAAAAACATGTTTATGTATCTTTCTTTATAGTCCACTATGCTCTTTTCTAGCTTTGAAATCTGTGCTCTCAATTCTTTATTCTCCTTCTCTAGAATAGCTACTATTAAGAAAAATTAAGATTGATCAATTACAGGATCTATGTAGTTCAAGAAAAATGATTAAAGAAATATAGAGAAAAAAAATATTACACAATTACTAGAAATTCATGAACAAGGTTTAACCAGATTGAAAAGTTTGCTCAAAAAGTCTCTTAATCTCTCACCACTCACTGCCTAACTCGCTCAACAAAGACTCTAAATCGTTCAACTAGCTAACTAAATCGCACACCTTATCTCACTTCCTAAACCGCTCAAACTAAGTATAAACTGCTCAATACACAGCCTAAATCGCTCAACCTATAAGCTAAACCTCTCACCTCACACTACCTAAAACGCTCAAGGTGAAGGATAAATCGCTCAACACACAGCTGTAAATCGCTCAGGAAGTGTAGCTAAATCGCTCAATACAAGCTCCTAATCCGGTCAAGACTAAACTGCTTAATCCACTGAACAAACAGCCTAAGTCGCTCTACACATGATTTAAGTTGGTCAAGAAGTGTGAGATAACAAGCTAAATCGCCTAATGAAGAGTCTTAAACCGCTCACACTATGAAGTCTAAACCGCTCACAACAAGGTGTAGTCCGCTCACTGCATGATGATAAATCGCTCACATCTTAGTATTTAAATCGCACACCAAACAACCTTATCCGCTTACCACTATGCTTAAACCGCTCAAGACTAAAAAGTAAATCGCTCAAGTCCGCTCACTAATCCGCTCACTAAATCGATCAAAGAGAATCTTAATCCGCTCATTACAAACACTAAATTTACAGAAAACTCATACACAAATGGATCAAAAACGGGATTTTATGAGTTTTACCAAGAACACAAAGTTTTTCTGAAAAACACAAATCTCTCCGGATCTTTAAAAACACTGATCAAATTGCAAAATCAAAAGAATAACACTGAATCACTAGGTAAAAACGAACATGATGATCACACTTTTAACAACTAAACATCCAGAAATGAAAGATTCGAAAGAAATTATGAAGAAAAATTATGAACACTCAAGAACATTATGAATTATTAAGAACAAAATCATAAAACTTCCAGAAAAAAAATTGTGTAATCCTTGATGATTTCTTCAACCAAATTTCCTACGAACTTGCTCTGATACCAATTGATAGTCCAATATGATCAATCTTCAAGTTAATCTTCAAGATCCATGGCAGATTTGATATGAATATTCAAGAACATTAGGAGAAGTTTGAGAGAAAAAGTCAATCTGGTCAAAGCACAAACATCTCTCAAATTGTATACGTATTATTACAATGAAATCTCTTACAAAGATTATAAAGAATCACCCTATATATAGGGTCAAACAAGACAAAGGGTCAAAGTCAACACATCTAAGAAAAGTCAAACACGATGACTTTTACACAATTATAGACAATTATATCTTTCAAGACGAATACAATTTTACACTGATTTTCAGTCCTAACATCATTGTTGGGGCATCTCCCCGACCCCAAACATGTCGAAGCTGAGGGCTCCATGGCCACCTCTTGTTCATCTAAACCCCGAAAGGCGGTCTCCGTAAACTCAACAATGTCATCGGCGCGAGCAGAGTTGCTGCCCCTACCAGACATGGGGCTGCTGCGACTACCATGACAGCTTCTACCGCGCTCTCGGCGTGACATCTTCTGAAAAAACAAAGATTAGATTATATCATGAAAAAAGATAATGACAAATCGCGATTATATGTACAATTGTGAAATAAGCATATAGAAGACAAACTACTCATCAAAAGAATGATCAGATAACATCGATTCATCTATGTCTTCAAATTCTGGTTCATCTTCGCTATCTTCGTCCGATTCGTTGCAAATCAGTAAGGGATCAACGAGGGAACTGGCCAAAATCAGATTCCCTCGCTGATCTGCGAGGGATCAGCGAGAGATTGGCCAAAACTAGAATCCCTCGCAGATCAGCGAGAGATTCTGTTTTTGGCCAATCCTTCACTGATCCCTCGTTGATCTGCGAGAGATTTTTTCCCTCGCTGATGTTCGTCACTGATACCTTGTTTTTTAGTAGTGAGTATAATCTGGATAAATTAATTAATAATGTTAAACTTTATATTTTATAGATGAATTAATAATGTAATAACCTATACATTTGAAATGGCTTGAGTGCACGTATTCACATATTCGTTCATTAAAATAAATAGATGTCACGAATGAAAGATTTTTATTGCTATTAGTTGACCAAAAAATATTAAAGGAATTAAGGTACGCGTTTCTGCATCCATGCAAGTAGGGTTTATGGATATTTGACCAACCTCAAATAAAATATTGATAGGAATTGTATCCATCCAATTATGTAGGGCTTATATATGGACACATAATTTTCTCTTCTTATATATGTCTTAAAATTCCCAAAAAGACTCGCCCTTCATAATAAATCATTCATTTGACATTTATTTCCAAACACATTCAACAAAACATCTCATACCAATTTGGGCATAAAGTCGATTCATTTTCTTTTACAAAAAATGAGATGAATTCGAGTCGCCGTAACTCGTTGAACATGGGAAATGTTAAAACAATTGAAAATGGGTAAAGAACTACGTACTTTTAGATCAAATCGAGAACAATTGTCGGTTGAAAATATAGAAATAAATTAACGTTAATCATGTTAATGCACATGATTGTTGAAATGAAAGCGGGGTATTTAGAATCACCCGATATGGAAAGGAAAATAAAGAGAGTATGAGTCGAGACAAGTAGAGCCAAATGCTATAAAACACCACATCCATTATATATAAGAACAGTCTACTTCAAAACAATGAGTGATTTACGTCTTTATTAAACACAATCTGAATATCAGTACTATAACAAATTTATCAACCATTATTTTATTACAACAATCAAGATATTACGTTTTCTCAGAGTTACAAAATCATCATTCAGAATGATACAATTTTGTTTGTATAGAATATATACAAGCCAAAATTATTTCTCTGTTTTCTGGATTTGGATGTTGTAACCCTGAAAAACCCCTGCTTTACTCTACGAAAGGGTATTCACATGTGAATTCACTTCCTTCCTTCAAGATGACAAAGTTGGGATGCTTTGCTCATTTCTAAAGAAATTGTCAGGATCAACCCTAGACTTCACCATTGTTAGCCTCTTGTAATTCGTCTCTTTGAAATACTTGTGCCCATAAACCATCCCTTCAGCATAAGCATTCCTGCCATGGCTATTGACACCAATGTCCAGATCCCTGTAGTTTAGAAATGCTTCTCTAGGGTTCTTGGACACAAACGGAGTCATGTAATCATACATCATCCTTGTGAAGTTTAAGTATCGATTTGCAGCTTCAACGCCAAGTTCTTCCCAGTTTACTTCGTATTGGATCTTTGCTATATTCCCTGATCGATGAGGAAAAGGCTTAGCAAATTCTGAAATCTCACTCATTCTTCCACCATAAGGGTTGAAAGCTAACATCTGGTTTTCAAGTTCTTTCATCCTTTCAAATATGAACTCGAATCCTTGTTTCGAAATAGGGTTTTGTACGTAATCGGATTTGATCTTGAATGGGTTGAGTCTTTGAGGTATACGACTTAGAAGAGCGGTGGTGGGCGTACCGGTGGGGAAGCCTGTGTAGAAAAGCACAGACTCGATCCAACTCATTTCGATACAGTCCGATCTTTGTAACCCTAATTCTGGGAAATCCTTATTCAAGAGTGTAACAAGTGTTGTCGAGTTTCCTAAGTACAACGTTGGAAATATAGCACGAATTGTCTTCTCACCATTTGTGTTGTTTATGACGCTGAAGGTCATTCGTAGGAAAAGATCGTTATCAAGCTTATCGGCAACTTCCAGCCACCGTTCGGCTATGGTGGTGAGGTTCTGTTCGTAAGTTCTTTCGATCATAAAGACAGTCACGACGGCAGGAACACGAACCAGTTTGATCTTGTAGGCTAGAACCACCCCGAAGCTGACACCTCCACCACCGGTGATGGCCCAAAACAAATCTTCACCCATGGATTTCCGATTCAAAATCCTGCCATTCACATCAATTAACTGAGCGTCGACAATATTGTCTACCGATAGACCGTACTTTCTCATCAAGTTACCATATCCGCCACCACTAAAATGGCCACCAACTCCAACAGTAGGGCAAACTCCTGCCGGAAAACCATGTGTATTGCTTTTCTCAGCAATTCGATAGTAGACTTCACCAAGAGTAGCACCGGCTTGAACCCATGCAGTTTCTTGTTCGATGCTCACGTTTACAGACCGTAAGTTGAACATGTCAACAACAAAGAATGGTTGGTTCGAATTCGAAACGTATGAAAGCCCTTCATAATCATGGCCTCCACTTCTTGTTCTCATTAGCAACCGGTGTTTTTTGGCGCAAACAACAGCGGCTTGAATATGTGAAGGATGTAAAGCTGTGATGATCAGGATGGGCTTCGGAGTCGTGGTTTCATTGAATCGAAGATTTCGGATGTAATTTTGCAAGACGGAGGGGAAAGAGGTGTTCACCGGAGTGTAGACTTCTCCGGTGATCGGAAAAGAAGGGTCGGATCGGTGGTTTAGACATTGAATGAAGCGATCTGTAGTAGTACTGGAAGTAGAAGTTGCAAAGGATTGGGCAGATAGCAAGAGAAAGAGAAGAGCAAAAATGGAGAAATATTGCAGGTTGAAAGAAGAGATGATTGCCATTGCTATTGGTATTGGTATTGGTATGCATGGTTTGAGGATGGAAACTACATGCAATTTATAAGCAATCAGAAGTCCTACTTTTCATTTGAGTTTCAAAGATGTCATACCAACTTCCAAGATAAAAAGTATTTCAAAACTACAAGTTACCACCTTAAGCTTAATATTCATTTAAATGTACATGGGAGTTTAGGCTTAGTTTTGCTGAACTCGACTTATCCAATAAGGTCTTAAAATTAACAATCAAATATAAACTTCTAGATAAACCGTATTCAACTTTGAATGACCCAAACATATATATATATATATATATATATCAATTTTAAAACTAAACCAATCGATATCATATCGAACCCGATATATAGTATAGCTATATAGGATGTATGTAAATGTTACTTTAAATCAATTGATATAGATATGATGTGTGTTTCCGTAAACCCAACGGCCTTATAGAAAAGTATTTTAGAGAGATAAGATTTGTTGGCAAAAACCGAGAGTTCGAGAATTTTGTAAGGAAACTCAAAAATATGAAGCGTACAAAAAATAGATAAAAATTTTATTATTTTAAAATCAGATGTGAAAATTCTCTTCACTAAATATATAATACAAATAACTTGATATCTATAAATGTCTAGAAAATTTGGTACGAAATGATATTTTTCCACAAAAAAATGTCTAGAAAAAGTGGCGTACGTACAAACGACAACAATCAAAATTAGCTATTAATAAAAATCAAAGATTTTGTAAAACTTCATTTTAGAAAATCTAGAAATAAACAAATTAATTTCAACAACACGTTTTCTTTGATTTAGTGGCAACTCAAACGACACTTGTATATATATATATATATATATATATATATATATATATATATATATATATATATCGTATGCTTTGAAAAGTAGAGGTATGAAATACAAAATACAACTCAAAAAGTCTGAAAATTAATCTAAAAAATAACAAATTGTTTTTGAATGTATAAACGTTATGAAATCGTATCAATTATTAAAAGGGAAAATTGCATCAAAATAAACCAACTTTCACCTTATTCTTATTTTGGAGAACTAATTTTCAAAATTGTCATTTAGGAGTCTCTATCAAACTTTTTGTTTATTTAAGGGTCTGGTTGATCTGTTGAACAAGTAACAGGTAATTTAAGGGTCTATATCAAACTTTTGGTTTAATTTGTCAAATTTGATTTAAACTTTAATATTTATACGGATTGGTTAGATATAAAAATCTTGAATTTGATATTTAATATTTATTTTTTATTGCATCAATTAAATTATTTTTTTACTGCATTAGTAAAAAATAATTTTTATTGTGGTAATTTGGATATTTTTTTTTAAAAATCATCAATTTGATATCTGAATTTAAAAAAACGATATTTGAAATGAAAAATAGATTTTTTTTATTGCATTAATTTTTGAAAAAAAAAACGAATTTTAGTTATTTTTCTATAATTATTTTACATGTTGGTTTCCCAAAATATGAATCAGGTGCAAGTTGATTTCCCCAAAATGACGATTTTGAAAATTGGTTCCCCAAAATAAGAATCAGGTGAAAGTTGGTTCCATTTTGTGCAATTTTCCCTTATTAAAAAACATATAAAAAAGGGTTTTACTTTGAAAACCAGATATATCATCAAAAGATTGTAGAATATAATCAGCTTGACGAAAATATTTTTAAAATTTTTGATTTCCTGTATTTTATTTATATATAGTTTTAGGAAAATAATTCAAACATCAAAGACTTTGAATTCTATGATTAAATACCAACAAGAAAAGTCTAAAAAAGAAAATTAAGTTTTGGATAAGAAAGAAATTCAAACATTGAATCCTACCAATCTCGTATATGTTATGATTTATGTATTCATATTTGATTTTAAATTAATTTAAAATCTCAGTTATAAGTTTTAAATATATAATATATGATTAAGATTCAAATATCAACTATGTTAGGATTTATATGTTTACATGTGAACTGATGAAAAACATTTATGTTTATGTTAACATATGAGATTTAGGCAAGTAAGATTTAATTTGATTTATAGATTGTAAAATTGACAATGATTTTTATGAGAAAAATTGGATAAAAATCGATAATTATTAATAGGGAAAAATTTCAAGAAAACCCAATGTATTTTAGTGTTCGGAGTCATTAAATTTTTGGACAAGAACCAATAAGTTGTTGGACATTTGAAAACCTGTTACGTAGATCCTTAAGGTTTTTTAAAACATTTTTTAAATAAATTTTTATTAGTTAAAAATATAATCTCCAACCTATATAACAAATAAAACTAAAAATTATATCAAAAAAGAACTAAAAACTATTCTTAACCAAATCCTCGCCGCTCCATGCTCCTCCATAAGAAATTTTGGTCACTATTTTCACACATCAAATGAAGAACAACTTACCAAAGGGCCTTCGGCCTAACGGTATCATAGCCCTTGACTTCTTAGGAGGTCAAGAGTTCAAACCTCACCAAAGGTGAAGAAGGTGTGTGAGTTTATTTGTTGCATTTGCCGTATATAAATATTATATACTTAAAAAAAACAACTTAAAATGAAATGGATGTTAAGATTTCCAAATATCAAGTATTTAATTGTCAAAAAAGATCGATTACAGAACTTTATAAACTTAAAGAAAGTTGAATTAAGGTTACAGATACAACATCACTAAATCATTTCCCATAGGTTGTAGTGATTTCAAATGACAAGATCACTAAACCTTAGAAAAGATAATTAAAGGAAATGGGCATTTTCAACAATTCAATTTTAAAAAAGATGGATTACTTCATTGATCAGTAGGAGAGCACGGCGATGGAGATAGAGGGAGCGAGGGTTCTGAATCCGAGGGGGACTAGGTGAGGGTGCACCTACGTTCACCATTGAGCATCTTTTTCACCATCCAAAACTCAATTTCCTCATGAATTATTGGTGCGGTTTGATTGCCTTGAAGGTTTTTCATAAACTCATAAGAAAATCAATAAAAAGGGGGACAACAAACCAAGGTGCTTATCTTCGTCGACCGAAGAAGATGTACCGGTAATTTGCGGAGCAACAATATAGAGAGATCAGACTGATCTAAGAGGAATTGAAGCCGTCTTTCAAAGAGATTAGGTTTCATGATGACTAATTCACAAGACACACAATTTTAGGTTCTTTTTTTCAATTTGTAGTTTTGCCTGTTGTATAGATTGCAGGTTACATTTTTAACTAGTAAGGATTTATTTAAAATGTTTTAAAAAGTCTAAAGATTTATTTAACAGGTACTGAAATGTCCAATTTCTTTATTTGTAACAAAAAATTATCTAAGAACTTAATTACTTCAATCACTAAAGTCCATTGTGTTTTCTTAAACTTTTCCCTTGTTAATATCCAAAAGATATTATAGAAAATAAATTAGGATATTTAGTTTTAATTATCTTAAAATTTTGGGACTTCTGATTTGAAATTAACACTAGTATAAATATAGCAATAATATTTTTTTCTCCATGAGATGATTATTTAGTTTTTGGTTTACTTTTCTTTTTGTTGAATACATAATTAATGTGGGTTTGTTTAGTTTATTTAGAACATATATATGTTGTTACACCAAGTTTTTGTTGATTAATGGAAGAGATTAAAACTATTACACAAACGAAAGTAGAGTGAGGGAACAAATCGACTATAAATGAAAGTAATGGAAGGACCAAAATCCCTTAGAAAAATTAGAGTAATCACAGAGGAAATGTTAATAGACAAAACTCTCTCACTAGCAACACTCTATTGACCATAACGACCTTCGTTATTTTTCAAAAACCTTGTTAATTTATGTAAACCATAGAAACCAAATTTGCATTTTGACTCTTCTTTTAATTTTATTCAATAAACAAACACCGATGGCGGATTACCAACTATGTATGCGCGCATGGTAACAAGTAAATTTTATTGTAAACCAATAATAAAAATTAAAAACAATGTATTTTTAAAAATTTGTATTATACAATAGTGCACAATGATTATCAGGGTCGGTCCAATGGTTGTAGATTCCCAGGACGAAGAGTCAAAAACATTCCCCAAATCCGATAATACAATAAATAAACAACACACAGGGGTTTGGAACCTAGTTTAATTAGGTGGCTCATCCTCAAGCCAAATTTTATTGAAAAAAGGAAGTACATCTAGAGGAGGCATAAACTGAAACCCTAATAAGTCACCTAAAATGATGTCTTCGTGCATTTCGTGAAGCAACAGTAGATATAGTTAATCAAAAATGAGATGGATAGAATAAGTCCCAAGTGGGGTTGTTGGCTTGACTCACTACCTTTCATTAATCAGTTAATAGCATAATTACATCCCGTAACAGTGAAAACGTAGTTAGCCTATCCTATTGCTCAATGAAAGTAAATGTTTAACGTAGGGTATATGGTCTTTAGAGACATCTTCTATCCTTTTAAGCCATTGACTTGTACCTGAGGTCCAAGACACTAAAGTCACCCACGTTCAAGGATCATATCTGAACTTCGTTGATCATCATCAATGACTAACTTGGTACCTTGAACAATCAAAACCGCATTTCTAAACCAAATATCCCTTTTGAAGATATGATTTTTAGGACATCTTTGATATTTATCGTGAATGTCCAATCGTCACGACACGATTTGAGAGCTTGTACTAAGGGTATGTGCCCATTTTCATCTCTCATTCCCTGAATTCATTCACAATACATTAGAAATCAGGATGTTTGATACCTCAATTGTCCGGAGGCCCTCTCATGCTATAGCTATTTAAGTCTCTTGACAGCGAGAACTGTTGCTTAATGTTGTATATATGATAGAGGTGGTGTGTTGATTGAATGCATCGGTCGACGGAGAAGGCATTACCTATATTTCAAATCTAGTCAAAAGGTTACTAGAACTCATGCTTCTACTAACTAAAAGATTTAAACAACTTGTTCTCCTGCTTTTATATCCTGTAGCTTCTAAGGCATTTTTGCAGGATAGTGACATTATAATTAAATTACAA